CCTGCTTCTCTGCCTACTTGTGATCTGTCTGTCAAATAAATAAATAAAATCTTAAAAAAATAATAAAAAAATAATAATTGACACTAATAATAGAAATGCTGGTTTATTAGGCATATACTGTTTCATCACAAAGACATTCTGTGCATGTTATTAAAAAATACATGGATTGCTATCCTCCCCGTTTCCAAAAGCGGGTTGAAGAAGTTTCCAACAAAAAATACAGATCATTAATGTACTCGAAGAAGCGTGGGAAGAGGAGATTCGGGACAAGAGGGGAAGAAGGGTGTGGGAGCTACAATTTTGCTAGCACTCTTAAAACTGCCTCACTTAACCCTCAGAAGACCCTTCGAGATTGCTCTTGTTGTCACATTTTACAGATAAGGAAACTGTAGAAGATAGGAAGAGAATCTGTGAGTAGAAGATATGTCGAGTAGCTGGCTTCTCTCCTCCTTTGTTAGGAAATGGCAGAGCCGGGGTTTGAACTCGGGTTTATCTGGTTTCAAGGTACGTGTTTCTTTGCACGACACCACCCTGATGGTCACCTCAAAACTAGACCAAGGGTAGTTGGGCCAACTGAACTCAGGGCTTAACCCTATCTTTTCTGCCAGCGTATCATAGAGAAAGCCAGATGAGATGCATTGTATGAAAGAGGAAAGCCCACGAATTTCCCCTTCCTCTTTCAATAGAAAGAGAGGATGGGGAAAGGCAAGGAAGCAGGGCAGCGGTAGAACAGAGAAGAGGAAAGAGCAAGCCATTTTGGAGGCAGCGCAAGACAGGATATTTTCTTTGAGTGCTTTAGTTTAGAGGCTGCAGTAATGATCATTATACCTCATAATGTGGTGAGTCCAATAAACCATATGAACTCTGATGATCTCACCAAATGTGTTGCCCTACTAGCAGCTCGGCAGAATTTGCCTTAGAAGAAAACCAGTAGGTGCTAAGAGGGGCCTTGACCAAACCAATCTGTTAACCTTCCTGTGAATTACTTGGTGGAGATGATTGTTTCTCAACAAAGAACCCATTTCATAGCTTCCCTGGGGGTTCCTGAAAGCTCTCTTTAAAGGTTATATTTCAAGTGTAAGAGTAGGCTCTGAATGGGGAGAGATTTTTTTTCTTTTTTGTAAAAAAATTCTGTTTCCTTCTAAACATCCGCTAAGTTAGCTGAGTTACTTAACAAAAAACAGTATCTTATTTCAGATGGGTCAAAACCAGATCCAGAAATGTCAAAAAGTGGATCATGGGTTGAAAAGTGAGTGATTTAATGTGATTTGAGAGCGGTTTTAATTTTATGATACTTGGCGCATGTGTGGGTATGTGTTTTAATGATAACCTAATTTTACTGCCCCGAACTTTAAGATTTCTTCTCATTCATCCACTAGCATTTGAATCTTCTCAAAATAATTTTTGCTCAAATTTCTCCCAAGAAGCCTCCTGCCTTTGTTCTGCAAGGACACACGGTTTCGAAGCCGTCCTCAGTATCCTGTTTTCGTTTGTCAGCCCTGTTGTCCTTTTCATTGCCATGTTCCCGTGTTCCCTTTCTCTCATGTGGTGCTTTACAATAACAATTCAGAACAAAAGAGTCACTCCTCTTTCTGTCGCCTTCAAAAAAAGAAAAAAAAAAACTTCGTCCCCCAACTGCGGGGCTTCAGTGATCACGGGAAACGTTTAGAGCAAGTTCTTCATAATAGTTAACCGGGAGTTGTGAATAAAGCTTACTTTTCTGTATTTTTTTCAGATCGTAATGTAGCTTCAGGGCATTGTGAACATGAGGTTTTGTGTGTGGCCAACTTTGAAGCTGAGAGAGAAAGCAGTTTCCTTTGAGGAAAGGGGCCATCGTATTTGAGAGAATTTCCCAATCGGTCCATACAATAGGAATCAGCCACTATGTGACATTGTCATTACTTGGGTGAGTCATGGGACTGGAGTAGCTGTGCGTGCCGCTGAGCCGTTGAACGTCAGCCCTTCAGTGCTCAGAGAACAATGGCGGAATGCCATACTGGCCACCATCAGCAGCTTTTATCGATGCATTTTTCTCCTGGTGGATAAATGGGAAGGAGAAAGTGTGCACCTTCTCGGCCTCCTAGAGGGGTACGGTATGAATGAAGTAAGAAAAAGTTTTCCCAGTTGGCAGGCGCTTTTCCAGGTGGAATCTTGCAACAATCCAGCCGAACCGGTCTGCCCTTCTGAGACTAGACCTCTTATGTCATTTTGCTATTTTCCAGGTAACCCTTTTCAGATATGAGTAGGCATTTGGGGGGGGTGTTAATATCTCAGTTACGTATAGGTTTCCATTTTTGTGCAGAGGAAGGAACGTTTCTCTTATGCAGGAGGGATGCTGTAACTGAGGGGTTTGTGAATAGTGAATTCCGTCAGGTGTCCCAAGTCATTTTGCGAAGGTGCTTTTGTATACGGATGCATGTGTGTGTGGAGGGGTGTGCACATATACGTGTGCATATTTATGTAGGACTACGGAAGTCAGTTCCACTGTGGACATGCATAGGATTTTATATAGACATAGAGTAGTTCTTTCAAAACACTGTTTTAGATATTGTATTTATTCATTTGAGAGAGAGAGCACAAGCAGAGGGAGAGGCAGGCAGAGAGGGAGAAACAGACTCCCCACTGAGCAGGGAGCCTGATGCGGGACTCGATCCCAGCACCCTGGGATCATGGCCTGAGCCAAAGGCAGACGCTTAACCGTCTGAGCCCCCCCAAGGCGTCCCAACATAGAGTTGTTCCGTGAATAGGTACAGAATCAGAGGTAGCTTCCATTTCCACCAGCATCACAGTGGCGGTCCGCTCTCCAGGAAAGGTGATTTCGACTTCTGTTAGGAGACTGGGTGTCACAAGTACCTGCTCTCTCCCTCCTGCTTAGCGTCTGCGATCACTTCCTTCAGCACCAGATTCTTGCCTGACACTTGGTACAGCGTAGACGGGGGAAACACCAGTCATTTTCAATTGAATATAAAATAGGTTCCATTTGCCTTTAATGCTGGATTTTTTTTTTCTTTGCATCAACGGTAAAAGACATGAAATGTCTTAGATCCTCTGATGGTGGGAAATCTCCTGCACAGGTTGTCAGATTAGGCTCTAGGGAAGATTTATAAAGGTGGTTGTTGTTTATCCTTCTCTTTTGTTTTCGAGGGGTGAAGTACGTGTTTACTAGTGTTTCAAATCTAGACATTCATGCTAATTTCCCCCCATAGCGCCAGAACATGGACAAGTCAGCCAAGTCCCACAGAAATTTTGACAATTTTAATGTTGTTTTAACAAAGCAATGCTTTCACATCTCATGATGAAAAAGTTTTTTCAAATTCTATTTGATGTACGCGTGTCTTTTCTGTGTTCAGTGAGGACTTCTTTGGGAAATCATCTGTATGTGAAATTGAGTAATCCCTTTGTTTATTGTTAGCAGACAAATGAACTTATGACTAAGGCAAGAGAGTATATGTTTGCATTTTTATGTCCAAACATGTGAAGCATGCTTTGGTTTACCGCGAGGTGTTGCAATGGCGTGACAGTGGGAGTTGCGACGTTCCCGCCAGGCAACGAGGAGGAGGCGGTCTTTGCCTCCTGCTCCTGCTTTAGCAAGAAGCTCTTACACACCTTTGGTGGGGGCCGGATGTCTGGGTTTGCACGTGAATTGTGCAGGTTTGCAGTCAGCCTGTTTTTTTGTTTTGGTTTGATTTGTTTTTTTTTACACTTTCCTGACAATTTCCTTTAGTTGCACTTTCTTGTCTTGCATGGTGATAAGCAACATCCTTGAGAGAACTACAGGGTAGGATTTTTTTTTTTTCCTTTTGGGAAGACTACTTCCTCTTCCTTAGACAGTCAGTGTTTAAAAGATTACTTTCCATTCTCAATTCACTCTTTCTCTGCCATTCTGGAAACTGAAATCTGGGACACCCATCACAGATTTGCTCTTAGGTGTATGTGTGGGCATCACACGCATACATAGACATATGTCTATATGATATGTTATATGCATGTGTAAAATCACATATATGTACGTGTGTATATGTATCACTTCTGTGTGTAGAGGCGTATGTATGTATTTCATACACATCTATTTTCTTTTGTTTATCAGGATGATAGATTGCAATTTAGATCTCTATTTTGGGAAGAAAAAAACGACCACTTTATTGTGTCTGTATGCGAGATGGTTCTTCTTGATGTAATGTTTTAAAAAACCTCCTTCCAGGTATTGTATTTTAATTCAGAAGATCGACACAAGGGGCGCCTGGGTGGCTCAGTGGGTTAAGCCTCTGCCTTCGGCTCAGGTCATGATCTCAGGGTCCTGGGATCGAGTCCCGCATCAGGCTCTCTGCTCAGCGGAGAACCTGCTTCCTCCTCTATCTCTCTCTCTGCCTGCCTCTCTGCCTGCTTGTGATCTCTCTCTCTGAAATAAATAAATAAAATCTTAAAAAAAAAAAAGAAAAACAAAAAAAAAAAAAATAAAATAATAAAAAAAAAAAAAAAAAACACCAGCAACCTGGCATCTAGAGCATAATGTGATCGTGTGCTTTGGAGACCACCAGAAAGACCAAAATGCAAGGGAGGTGGGCGCCTGTCGCTGACCCCGGGAACTGGACAGAACTCTCCCGTTGGCAGCATGGAAACCTGGCACCCAGCACTCAGCTGCGGGACACTGACCTGCTGCTGGTTCCCGTGAGAAAGGAGGGTACAGATCTCAGTGCCAAGTCATCTTTTTAATTTTTTTTGGGGGGGGGGGACTAGGCAGTGGGTATTAATCTGCCCCGAGCTGCCTTTTCATTTGGCTTGAGTCGAACGTTGAGTGGGCGAGGGCCCCGGGAAGCCCTGCCGGGCTCTCTGGAAAAGGCAGTTGGAAAGCAAGAGGGAGTTTTGATTCTTCAACTCGGCGAGCCTGGCGGGGTGGATGAGGTGGAGCTGGCCTTCCTGGAATTGTCGCGTCGATTTTCCTGTTGTGTTTCACTGTTGACGCTCTCACAGACACACAGGACCGCTCCAGCACTGCCTGCCACCCGCCATCTGGTCTCCGTGGCCTGTCTGTCATTTCGTGGGTCCCCATCCTCTGCTTACGGCGATGTTTCTTCAACAAGAACTAGGGTGCAGTCCATTGGTGGGTATTCGAGACGATCTCTGTAAGAATCTGGAGAGATGCTAAGGGAACTAGTAAGGCCAAGTGTGCTGTTTCCTGTTCTTAACCGATTTATTAGTCTTTCAGTGGGACTGATTGCATTCGTGAGACTGTCGAGTGGGTGTCTGTGCTGTGAAGGCAGAGTGGACTCGGGCCAGTTGATCCTGGAGAAATCAGGATTGCTTTTTTGCATTGTCACTGGTGCCTTTTTTTTTTTTTTTTTCTCGTCTGCATGTATAAATGAACTCCAGAAGGTGTATTTAAGCATTCTGTTAAGTAAATTTGGAAGACTGGGTTTCAATTAAAATAACCAGACAGTGTGACCTAGCTCCCATTTCTCCTTAATTTTTATCATTAAAGCCTTCATATCCCCAAAGACATCTGCTGCGCTTCCAAGTGATTCTTTTCAGGAATGTTCATTCCTTATTAATCAGGTTGCATGGTCAAGAGAGTATGTGATTATTTTAAAGACTATCCTAGAGATCCAATTACTAAAAAACCGGCACGTTATGGACAGATGTGGAAGTATAGAGGAGGTTTTGCAAATGGCTTAATTCAATTTGCATGAATTCCACCAGGTGGGGTTTGGTGAAATTAAAAATCTTCCCTGCTTCTCACTTTTGGTATTAAGTGAAACCTTTTAACTTCCAGCACTCCTCAAAATAAAGAGGAAGTGGCAAGTTATTAAAAACATGTATTAATTAGTTACTTTAAAACTTGAGGCTAGTGCCTCTGTGCTTATCTGCTTGTCACGTTTTGTTGTTGTGGTGGTGGTAGTGGTGGTTTTTTCTCCAGTCAGTCCCTCTGGTCCCTTAAAATTCAGTTGGCAGAAATTCTTAGTCATCCGTTACTGATTAAGGGAATGAATTTGAGTGCTCTGACAGTCGGAGGTTAGCCACAGCACTGTTTCAGAAGCGTTGCCTGTAGAAAGTTACAGATCACTTTGGCGCTTGTTCCTGCTAGTGTGTTACTTGTATTGTTGCTTTGAGAGCCACTTCGCATTTTGACTCCGCTCTGCCATACTTTGGTGTAGGAGGTAGCCTCTGTTGTGGCAGTCAATTTCCACTCTCTCAGAGTGCCACTAAATTCAGTGGGCTCTCCCTCTCCCCTCTGTGTCGCATCTGTGGCCCTGTTTTACTGTGTATTTACTGACTCACCTGTGTCTCAGATCAGCCAGGGTGCTGATCGGTAAAGTAGCATTTGGGGAAGGTGTTTCTTCTGTGGTTTTTATAACTCAAAGCTAAATACTAACCCATGACCAAATATGCAGACATTGAGTGCTTGTACTGTGTTATTTAAAATACTCTCTTTGTGGTGACTGTCTTGAGTATAGCACCCAGTTTCTACTGTTTCTGCCTCACAAGCTGAGGTTAATTTCCAGAGGTTCACAGTTCCAAAGTTTTGAGTCCTCTGAAAGTCCATGTTTCTTCTGATCTAAGATAAAAACATCATTCCACGGTCCTTTAAAAAAGAAATTCCACCTGTGGTTCTGTAATAGGGATCATCTCAGAGCTAAAATCCAAATGGCAATAAGCCAGCTAAGTCTTCGTTACTCATGTGAAGAGAGGGAATAGGAAACTGATTTGGTTGTGGCTCTGAAATGTAGGACTCTTTAAAGAAAATTTATTCATAGAATTTGGGATGCTGCTTGTTAGTCACAACACTTTCCAGGGCTTTCTGTCTGTGCCCCCCCCCCCCCACCAATACCATTTTTATGTGATCTGGTGTAACACTTGTATGGTTTTGGTGGTGTGTTTGTTGTCTCGGTACTGTTTTGGTAAATTTAACATCAAGCTTAGTTTCCATACCCCAGAGGATATGTTAAAAAAAAAGCGGGGGGAGGGGGGAGGAAATGCTCCGGGGATCATCCGGGCAGTGGCAGCGAGCCACCTGGTAGGAACAGCTGACCGCCGGCTACCCAGTGTCGGTATCCGAGTTTATTCCTTGGTCTAGTGGCTCCTGAATTTCCCTCATAGCGATGGCTTGCAGAGCCATCCGGAGTGAGGGACTGAAAGTAAAATTATTGGTGGCTGGAATGCGTGTTCTTTTTCATGCACTCCGAATCAGAAAAGTGATCATTGTTCGTGGAGTCTGCAGATGTGACATACAGTAGCTGCGGGGAAGCACCGAGAGATGGGCTTGCCTTATGATTAAAATGTCAAAACTTCACTGAGAGAAATTTGGAATTAAGAAACTCCTGGATGACATGCTGACAGTCAGGGATCTCCTTATTCTAGTGGCTGATCGAACTAATAGACTGCACTAGGTCTGGAGACTCCTGATTCTTGATCGCTTGCATGTGTGGGTGAAACTTACATACTCTTGGGATTTCGACCTGGACCCGCTCGCTGACTTTGGCCACGGGTTAAAGCTTGCAATGTGTGTCATCTTCCTAGGGATTCAAGGTACAGGTTATCTTCTCGGTGTCATAGCAGAAGTGAGGGGAGATTACACGGAATAAAGTTGTGAAATTCTAACATGAGCTAGCAAGTAGGATGATGGCAGGGTTTGTGACAGCACAGGCAGGGGATTGAATGGGTTTTTTGCATGGATTTGCCCGGATGATGGTTTTGCCTCTGACTTCAGAGGAGGGGGCAGAAAAGATGAATCCGGCAGCCACGAACCCTCTTCACATCCATCTCTCTGGCTGAGAACACTAATCCATAAGGACATCCAGCCTGAGTTCGCCATCTCCCTTCTCAGGCCCAAACCTTGTATCTCCACTAAGTCCTGGTGTCCACCTCTTCTACCGGACACTGTCTCCTTTAGTCCATTTCCCCCAAGATCCCACACTTCGGATAAAAGAAAGCCCTTCCTTCTCCCTCCAGGTAAGTCCTCCTGCTGGGATGAGAGCTACCTCGAGGTGATGATACCTAGAGCCCAGAGGGGTCAAGAGGCCATCTGCCCAGGCAGCTGGTTCACCTTAGCCATCACCTGGGTGCCAAGGTCCAATCATGCCTGCAGCCCTCACCACCAGCTGTCCATCTCTGTCTTGATTAATTTTTCCTAACCCCAAAAGGCACAAGCCTCTGGCATCCAGATTTATCATGGGGGATTTCAAGGAGTAGGTGATCATTTGGCTCCGGCCACCCGTTTATGATCGGCCTCAAATTTAGACGATGAGTGTTATGTCCGTATGAGGTTCGTGTTTGTGTTTGTGTCTGTGTTGGCGCGTGCCTGCCTATATTGGTCCCAGAGCTGATCCAACTCTACTGAACGAAGGGGATGAATCCCTGAACTTTAAACCGGGGTCCCCTTTCTGATCACTCTGTTGTATACCAGGAAATAGTATTTTTAAATGAATATTTTGGTTGTTTTGCAAATATGGTAGTTATACTCCTTTGTGGTTTTCAGCTCAAAGCTTTACTTTAATTGTAAACATTTACGATATGTCACACTATTTATAACCATCTTCTAAAACAAGTCTTCTTGGTTTAGTATGAAATCTCCAAATACAACCATGGCCAGGGCTCAGGCCTCGTGGAGGTTCTGCCGTCAGCTTAAAAAAAAAAAACAGAAAACAAAAACAAGAAAATAAACATGTAATACAGGAGCCAAAAAACAAAACAAAACAAAAACAAAAATCCAAAAAACCTCACAAAGGAAAAAAAAGCTCTGTGCTCGGGAGAAACGCAAAGGCAGCTGCTAGGAGCAGCAAATGGTCCCATCCCCTGGGTCCCTGGGATGGGAGGTGAGTGTGTGGAAATGAGGTTCAAGAAGCAGTTCGGGAGATGGTTGGACCAGGAGCTAAGGGCATCCGTCAGGACTCATACTCCAGCCAGCAGGGAGCTAGCTAGCCGCTCACCATGTGGGCCTTTAACAGAAGCGACGGATAGAAACCCTGGTACCAGAAGCGTGTGGCAGAGATGAAACTTGAGGGACAAAAAGATTGGAGGTAAGGAATCAGATGAGGAGGTGGTTGCTTGTTTTTTGTTTGTGTGTGTGGTAGGGGTTGGTAATAGTCTAGGAATGCGGGAAAGAAGATCTGGATCAAGCTAGAGGCGGAGAGAAGGAAACCGATCGAAGAACGAAGGATTAACCCTCACATGTCTTGGCTAATGATTTGGATTTGGGGGAAGGAGCGTGCGTGGCCTCCTGTGGACGCCGGGACAAATGGCCACGACGGGACACGACGGCTTAAACCGCACTGGAGGACAGGGTGCCTGCAGGCTGCGCTCCTTCGGGAGGCTCTGGGGAAGACTCTGTTTGCCTTTTGCAGCTTCTAAAAATGGCTCATATTCCCTGACTCGTGGCCCTTCCCTCTTCAAAGCCAGCGATGGTCATCGAGTCTTTTCTCCATCTCAGCACCTGGCCCTGCTCACGGGAGGGCCCTCGTGATTCCACCGAGGCCATGTGGATGGTGCGCTCAGTCTCCCGCATTTTCATGAGGCGAGTCTCTGACTTGTAGTGAGCAGGAGAATAGAAGCACTGTGAGGAGACCCCGAGGCTTGTAGGGCAGACAGGTTTGGGAGGGAAGCTGATGAAACCCGTGAGACGCACCCTTGGAACTTATAGTAAAGGAAGCAGAGAACTGTCAGTGCTGAGTTGGGATTCTGGAAAGAGATGGCCCTGGGAGGGACAAACCTAGGAGTCATTCTCAGAGATGCTGTATGAGAAATGAATAACCTGGATGGCTTATTTTTTTAATTGAGGTTTAATTGACAGATAACATTACATTGGTTTCAGGTGTGCAACCTGACTCCCTATTTGTATACAACGTATTATTAACTACAGCCATCGTGCTGTATATTACATCCCCAGGATTTCTTTCTTTTACAACTGGACGTCTGTACCTTTTGACCCTCTTGGATGGCCTGTGGATGGAGGGCCAGACCCTTAGAAAACACCCAGGCTCTGCTTTGCTGGAAGGAGAAGTCAGCAGGGCTTAGGGAGACGAAAACCAGAAGAGCACAGTTTTAGTGACATCCAGAACGAGAAAGGGTGAGACAGGAGGAAGGCAGAGGTATGAGAACATTTGTAAGATGTCTTTGTAAGAACGTTTCTGGAAAAGATGTCTTGCAACCAGTGCCTCCCAGGAGGCGGGGCTCGAGTGCAGCCCGCGACTAGGGACTGTCCCGCTTATGGATTGTTCGGACTGAGTGCTGGAAGGAACTGGAGGGAATCCTTGTGGACGCTGTCCCAGGGCCACGCAGCTGATAAATAGCCGAACTGCGTTTCATCCTCTGTCTGCCCAGCCATCTGGCTCTCTCCCTTCACTCTATTCCATGCCCTGTTCTAGACTACAAACCGTGGGCCGGCAGAGGTGTGAGCTGTAAATTGTCCCCGTTCCCAGTTTGTTGCAAGGGGTTTCCATGATCACCCTCATCCTCTTCTCCATGAGGACCAATCAGCCCATTTAGAAGAATGTTGAGCGATAGAATTTCCTGATAATGATATGCACGTGTGATTTCCTTCCATTGTAGCGAAGGCGAAGAATCTATTTTTTGAGGCCTAGACATTAAGTTATGGGAGTTAAGGAAAAGTAACATTTTCCACAAACCGCCCCCCTCACTACTTGTACCTGTCTGGTGAACGCCTGTTCGTCTTCAAAAATCCTTCTCATGTGTTGCCTTCTTCGGGAAGCTTTCCATGTTCTTCTCCCCCAGTCTTTGGCACGTGACTTTTGTTACGTTGCACAGCAGTTTGTTCATGTTTTCTCTGCCCGTAAGATCACCGAGGCAGGGGCTGAGTGTTACCATTACTTGTCTCAGCACCAAGAACCTAGAGGGGCTTCAATATTTGGCGAAAGAATGAACGGTATTTTCACTTCTCAAGAAGCTAAAAAACAAACCATGCTGATCTTCTTGGGTTGGGGAATGGCGTGCGTGCTTGCTGGCAACATATTGTCGACTAATGTCACCATAAAGTACTTGTACCACAGCAAGATCTGCATCAAAGGAGAAAAAACAATCAGATCTACTATTGGTATCGAACCCAGAGCCCCTTCCCTTTTGGCAGCATATGAGCACAAGGTTCCGAAAATTGGCTCAACGTCATGGCGCATCCACATTTAGTCATCACTTAATACAATTAAACCAACATTTACAGCGTCGACGCTTGCACAAAGCTCCGTGCCAAGCACTATGGTGGTAAAAGCAAACGATCCTGTTCTGAGCAGCTGCTATTAAATCATTATTACATGAAGTGCCCCTGAGCACTCGACTCACCATTATTTCCATTGATGTCAGGGTGAAATCCCATTGCCTATCACTTCCCGTTAGCGTTCGAAACTTGCACCCGCTTGGCGACGTCTCCCTCTACCACCATTCCCTTGTTGCCCGCATGGCATTTTCGTCCTATCTCTTTGGGAGGGAGTCTCCCCTCTCTGTTGTCTGGCTGTACATGTCTCTATCTTCTACCTCGTGGGTCAGCAAAATAAGATCCTCGCCCCAAATGGAGCTTGCCGCCTGTTCTTAGAAATCCGATTGTATTGGCCAGCCGCACTCTCCCCTCGGTGTGTCGTGTGTGCTGGCTTTGGCGTACCACAGTGCTGATTGGAGCGGCCGCAACAGGGACCTTCTGGCCCGCGGTGCCAGAAATAGTTACTGTCTGGCCCTCTCTACAAAAAGTTGGCTGACCTCTGCTCCAACATGTCGAGACATCCTTTGAGACAGCAGGGGTGTCGTATACGTTAAGGTTTTTAACCCCGATGGCTGTGCTTTTCCCCAGTCATTCAACCCATGTTGGAGTCCCACTGTGTGCAGGGCGCTGTTCCAGGCGCTGGCAGGACATCCCCCAAAGAGCCAAGCCAAGTCTCTGCTCTCATGGAGCTTACCTTCTACTGGTGGGGCAGCGGGGAGTGATGATGGCTCCGTGGCCAAACCACTAGAGTATGTTGGATGACAAAAGTTATGGAGGAAGGCAAAGAGAGGCGGGGAGGGGTGGGGGAGAAGGATTGCCGCGATGGTGGGGGGTAGGTGGCCATCTTGGTAACAGGGGAATCGGTTTTATGTGGGTTCACAAGGAGGTAACACTGCTGCAGAGAGTCACATGGATTCCAGAAACCTTGGGAGGGGGAGATGGGACGTGCTTGGCATGTTCCAGGCATCACAAGGAGGCCGGGTGCCCCGAGCAGAGCAAGGGCTAGCGTGGGTGGAAATGAGGTCACTGTCTGAGTCTGTTTTCTGGGGCTGGTTTTATTCTGCTGACTTGCTCCCTGAGTGAGATGGGAAGCCCCTGGAGGGGAGAGCAGAGAAGAGGCAGGCTCGGTCATGTTTTAACAGGATCTTCGGCTTCAGAGGAAAAGATTGCGGGTGGGGGCCAGAGTGAGCAGAAGGCGGGAAGCCATTCGGAAAGGTGTTGTGATAACCCAGGTGAGGCGTGATGTTGGCTGGCCCACGATCATAGAGCCGGGACGGCGAGAGTGCCAGATTCCGGCTTCTCGAGCCAGCTCACTTAATGTCTCTTGACTCAGAGGTCAGCGTTTCCAGTGGGGTCAGCAGGGGAATCACCTCTAGAAATTGTGATTGCACCACGCTGGGATGGGATCCTGACACCTGCGGAAAAATACAGCCCTCCCAGCTCTCCGGACACCTTTGGGGCTCATCCCCGTGTGGGGATCTATTGGGAGGCGTTCTTGGTGCACCTGAGAACAAAGCAGACCCAAAGGGCGACGGCTTCCCTTTAATTTAAGTTCTTCCTTAAAGTTCTTCTCTTCCCTTCCTTCCAATGGGAAGAGAGAAGAAACTCAATTTAGTGATAATTCCGTTTTTTCACAATTAACCAAAATAATGATTAATAGGTAGACCTTTTCAATTTCATCCAAGCCATGTCGTGGAAGGGGTGGGGAGGACCAAGCGGGGATGGCAGGTCTCATGCCACAGCAGCCCGGCGGTTGCCGCTGCGGGTTGTGAAGACGTGAGCAAGCTTTCATATTTCAAATCTCAGCTACCTGTTTCTTCTCTCTCGTGTAGTTAATATTCGCGAATGGCTGAAGATCTCTTTAAGATACCAGGCTTCTATGAAGCCAGCAGCTCTTTAATTTTTAACAAACTCAGCACGCACTTGGCACTTTTAATGATCAGTTCCCGTTCGTTCAGTTGATGGCAAGATGAGCGTTAGCTTAACCAAAGCCCCACGTGGTATTTCTGCGGGATGCTATTTCAGAAAGGGGCAACACGTTCTGGAAATCGCGAGTTTGGTAAATAAATGGGGGTGCGACTACAAAAAGGCCGATTGTCGGAATCACTGAATGGTAGCTGTGGATGTGAAGCCTTCCCATCAAGCAGGCCCATGAACCCCCCCAACCCCCCTGACCCCCCGAGAGTGATTGGAGCCTGGCGTTCCCCTGGGTGAGCTGCTCTGTTCTCCCACAGGCGGCACTGGGCTGCATCTAATACGCCCGCAGTTCCGCGGACCTCGGCTAATGGTCTTGAGAGGGAAAAGGTTCAAAGAGGCTTGGTTCCCAGGCCTGCTAATGAGCGGAGGCCTCTTCCCCATTAATGAAGCGGGCTTTGTGTGTGATTCTTTTCTCCTGCCCTTTTTGAAGGGAAGGCCGGCACGGGTTCACAAAAGCAGCAGCCCATCTTCATGGCACGGGGAGCGCGCAGCTGGGCCACCCGAAGGCAGCCTGGTGGGGAGCTCAAAGCTGGCGGAGCTCGAGTCCGGGGCCAACAGAGCTCTGGGTGTGAGGGTGGACCTCCTGTCGGCCCGGCCAGTCGCTGGCTATGGGGACAAGCCTTTGATGGAACTCTTTGGGCCAGGAGGGCTGCACGGGGTCCCTCAGCAGCCCTTTCAAGCCTCCCCAGAGTAACGTGACTACTTTATTTATCCTGCTGCCTACAGTGCAGCCGTGAGCCCGGTTAATAACTTCTCGAATGAATATCGAAGCCACGAAAATCCTTGTCCTAATTAACTAAATCGTTACTAGTCATTGGTACTCAGGCTCACCACAGCCACTGAAAAGGCCTGCAGATATTTTTCTCTGCTTCGCTCTGCCCACCCACATCCCACTGCAGGATTAAACAATAGAATTATTCAGGAGAGTAACGAAGGCATGCCAAAAAACATTGCCTCGATCACAATCATCTCCGTGAAAGTCAGTGTTTTTCCGCAAGAATATATTTTGGAAGCTGACATCCCCTAGTTAAGCATTATCATTTCCGCTGAAGTCATGCGTTGGATTTCATGCACATTTCATGCCCATTTCCACAAGAAGCGCCTTTCTACTTCTCTGAAGCCTGCTGTGGTATCGTAGAGTAAAAAGTCCTTCAGACGCATAAACTTATTCGCATGCAAGTTCATCAATTCAAAGTCATGAAAGGCTCTAGTTCGTTAATTAACATTTCTACATCTTAATTCTCCACACAAGGTAAAACTTGGCCGTGACACAATGAGATTATTGTGATTAGATACAAATTATGGAAATTACAGTTTCAATAACTTGCCAGTCTGGAGTAAGACCTTTCAACAAACCAAATTGCGAAAAAAAAGAGGTTTTTTGTTTTGTTTTGTTTTGCTCTTTGCTGCTTTTGGTGACAGGAATTTTGAGAAAATGTTAGTTGGTACGCTGGCTTAGGGTGTTTCTCCCCGCCTCACTCCCCCAGCGAATAGAAAGAGAATTATTTGGAATGTGCACACATTTACCCTTCCATGACCCGTGTTTGGAATTATTCTGAGCTGCATTCAGAGCTGACAGCTCCCCATGGCTGACCCCCTCGCGCCTAATCAAGTCTTACGTTCTGTTTCCAGATAGCTGATCAGCTTCCTTGGATTTTGCTGATGACCCAGGAGAGCTTTGCCTGAAGATGGAAACACTGGAGTCGGAGCTGACCTGCCCTATTTGCCTGGAGCTCTTTGAGGACCCTCTCCTACTGCCCTGTGCACACAGCCTCTGCTTCAGCTGCGCCCACCGCATCCTGGTGTCACACTGCGCCACCAACGAGTCTGTGGAGTCCATCACCGCCTTCCAGTGCCCCACCTGCCGACATGTCATCACGCTCAGCCAGCGAGGTCTAGACGGACTCAAGCGCAACGTCACCCTGCAGAACATCATCGACAGGTTCCAGAAAGCCTCCGTAAGCGGGCCCAACTCCCCCAGCGAGACCCGCCGGGAGCGGGCCTTCGACGCCAACACCATGACCTCCGCCGAGAAAGTTCTCTGCCAGTTCTGTGACCAGGATCCTGCCCAGGACGCTGTGAAGACCTGTGTCACTTGTGAAGTGTCCTACTGTGATGAGTGCCTGAAAGCCACTCACCCGAACAAGAAGCCCTTTACGGGCCATCGTCTGATTGAGCCAATTCCGGACTCACACATCCGGGGGCTGATGTGCCTGGAGCACGAGGATGAGAAGGTGAATATGTACTGTGTGACCGATGACCAGTTAATCTGTGCCTTGTGTAAACTGGTTGGGCGGCACCGAGATCATCAGGTGGCAGCTTTGAGTGAGCGCTATGACAAATTGAAGGTTAGTCCGATCCGCCTTAAGCCAACCCCTTTCTGCCAGCAAATGTCATGGAAATAAAAAGTGTATTCACCGCTAGCTGCACAGCAGGTGAAGGTTTTCTCTTCACCTTTGTTATCTGATTAGTTTTAGCACGTTTTTTTGGCAGCCCGCGAAGGTCGCACAATCAGGGTATCTTGTAAAAGTTGACTGCTGCTTGTAATGTTAGTGTTGTCGGGGTGAGGGCGAATTTGAAAAATCTGGGTCATATTCAGTCCCTGCAGGGGGGAGGGAGAGAGGGAGAGAGCGGGCAGGGGGCGGGGAGGAGAAGGCAAGAAGGGATACCAGATAAAAATCTGACTTTGGGTATTTTGGGGGCATTCATTTTCTTCACTCATTCAGGAAAGCTAATTTCACCGGAATTGTACCTGTATCCATCCAGTTACTCGCACAAACAGAAGGACCGAGGGAGGAATGCCTATAGCAAATGTGGGATTTTAGAGGACATGTGACCTTGTATTTCTTGTGTGAATGCTATCCGGCTTATTGGTGAGCTAGAGTGCTCTGACCATCTCGGGTTTTGGCAAGGAATTCCTTTTCGTGTAGGCTTTTTCTTTGGTAACGTCACAGGTGAGACTCTTTGAACTTCACTTTTAACATGAAATTATTAACTTAACTCCAGCACGGGGAATGATAATTAATATGACTATATGTCAGATTAAAAATCTCACTCTCTAAATATGGATAGAATGCACCAGGGAAGAAATAAGTCAGGTCTCCAGATGTCTGTCGAACTTCAGGCAATGGTGGGTCTAATTACGGCAAACTCAGCCGAGAGTTTGCTCTAATAGTGAGATACCGCCCTCGCTGGTTAATTTTAGATCACAAGACGCCAATTAAAAGGAAAGGAAGTATAAATTAAGAGCTTTGAGTAAATATATATCGAAGCCCTTCCTCTCAGGAAAAACACACACCGCGTTGTTGAGCAAACAAAAAAATGAATCACATGAGTGAGAGTGTTACCACTCGGGGCACATCGACCCCTCTCAACAAACGGTTCCTATCACTTTTCCTCAGCGCGCCAATGGGTGCTTGTGTTTACTGGGAGCTCAGAGTTTATTCTGTGACGCTGGGATTAGGGGACCACACCTGTGATGTGGTCGGGCTCTTTCTTGAGATGCTGAGGGAAATTGGCGGGCTGAGTGAATCCTGCTTCTGAATGTCACTTGGGGAACAAAAGCCTCACCTGGGCGGCATCTGTCCCTTGTAAGCGTCCGAGGACTGTTGGTGCAAACCCACCTGTGAACTTGGAGAGGAAATTAAGCCCAAGGATGTAGGTGCTGGGGACAAGGGGAGACGGACGCCGGCTGGTTTTCTAGCGTGGTGCGCAGCCCCAGCCGAAAGCACACCTCCACGCATAATGAGAGCAAAGGCAACGCGTGTGGGAATTGTGCCTCCGGTATTCTTCGGAAACTGACGTGGCAGTCTGTCTCAGAAACAGAGATGATCATTTCCGCCCCTTTTTGGTTGCCGGCAGAATGTTTAAGATGAGGGGACGTAGGTGTTTTTTGTTTTCCAAAACGTGAACGTGGTGGACGGCGGCCTTTTCCTTACCCCTCAAAATGTTCCTTTGACTGGATTAACACTGCCTTTTAGTGACCGATCGTTAAAACACCACAATGATTGATGTTCAGTATTCAGCAACCTTCAGTCTTGATATTTAAACTGGGTAGCCAAGTTCTGCTCATTATTTGTGGGCTACCATAAAGGAGTTACTAATGATTTACAGAATGTCTTCAAATTTATGAGGACATACTGTCATGCCCTAGGCTTTTGTGATGAAAATGAAACTCTTCAATTATGAGCCCTACACACTTGTCTGATCAAGCCTGTGGGTTAGCGGTTGTCGATATGGTCACCAGAGGGCCTGACAGTTAACAGTACAGTATATTTTATCTTCTAATTACAGAAATAGAAGCATATAAACAGCACCTAGTACACCAAAGCACATTTACAGCCACTCAACAAAATATGTTTATGAGCATTTAAACAGGTAACCTGCTAGCACCGCATGTTTGTCCTAGAACATGCCACTTAAGTCAGAATAGAAAGATCATAAGAATATATTGACGTTTGGGGTGTCTTGTGATATCTCAGTTATCACGTATTTATGAACATATGTGCTTTTTGTTTATTTAAGACCCAAGTACAACATGGACATTGATTTTTGAGGAAAGTAATAGCATATTGAAAGGACCAAAACCAAGGAAAGGTATTTTCTGTTAATTATTAGTTTGGTCTGAACAACTGAATGTGCTCTGTGTCTTTTCCTGTGGCTTTAGCATCTCGTACAGAAATAGATTTGTGATGATGTGGAAATAGAAAGCATGGAGAAATGTGAGGGTGCTTTCCTTGAGAAGATGGTAGAGGTGCTAAACTTATTTGGCTATGTAAGGACGCAGGTGTCTCCTTTTGGAAAATGTGTTTGCTCTTGTGTTAGTAAAAGTCCATTATTTGGGGGCAACCTGGGTGGCTCAGTCGGTTAAGCATCTGCCTTCGGCTCAGGTCATGATCCTGGGGTCCTGGGATCGAGCCCCACATCGGACTCCCTGCTCAGCGGGAAGCCTGCTTCTCCCTCTGTCTGCAGCTCCCCCTGCTTGTGCTCGTGCGTGTCCCCCCTCCCCCCCCGCCCCGGTTCCCTCTTTCCTTGACAAAAAAAAAAAAAACCATCTTTAAAAAAAAAGAAATTTCTTAAAAAAAAAAAAAAGGTCCATTATTTGAAGATGGGAATTCTGCAGTGATTATGAAGAACAGTTATTTCTTGCACTAATCTTAAACTTTGGGGATCACTTTTACTCATATTAGGTCTCAGTATATACACACGTGCCTACGTAAAGAATTGGAATATACTTTTGTACATTACAACTCTTTCCGGACACAAAAGAAAAAGGGCATAAAAATTCCATGTAGGATTCATGCAAATAAAATCTTCCATGTCATCTGAAATAGCATCGTGTCAGTAGTCTGGTGCTGTCAGACACTAGGCATTGGGAGGCACTCATAAAATATTGAAGCAAAGAGAAATTAAACCAGCATTTCCTGCACTCAGTTTTAAGATAAAAAGAAAAAAGTCTTCCTGCCAAATGCATGTCTCTAAGTGGAGCATGTCATAATGTGGATCTGCTTGTATCATTTTAATTGAATTTTAAGAAGGTTCTCAATCCTCAAGTCTGGATTAAAAAGTTTGATTCGTGAACCATAGAACATAGAAGAGAATTTAATAGAATGTATTACAGAGTTTTCAAGGAGTTACAATGCAGTAATTCCATTTTTTCCCGTCCCAGCATACAATGTTGGGGCTCTTGCTTCTTTTCTCTAGTTATACCTATAAAAATACAGAAACTGAGAAGAGTTGACCTTTCCTTGCCCTTCAACTTTGGCATAGCCCCACTTCAAGTTGGCTGACGGTGAAGGTCCAAGCCATTGTTTTGCATTTGTGACTCCCAAGGCTGGCTCCAGGCATTCATTTGTGTGATGCCCATTTCGATGGGTCGTCCCACTGGACTTTTGTCATCGTTTGATAAAGGCTCCAATGAAAGCTCCACCTTCCTGCGTTGTCCTTTTCATCTGGAGGTAAAGGAGAGGGATTTTGCTCTTGGGTTTCATTTGTAGATTGTAAGGTTCCATAATTTTGAAAGTCCTGTGCTTTATTTGCATTTGGGAAAGTTGTTAGTGGATACTTGGCTAGACATTTTTTTTCTCTTTCCTTAGAATTTCTAGAACTTGTTTCTTATTTGAAAACAGTAGCCGATATAGTACAGGTTCCAGTGAAAAGGTGTGTGTGTGTGTGTATGTGTGTGTTGCATGGTGTATCCCTGATGTGGATAGAGGCTGGCGATGCTTGGACACCCTCCATTGTGCAGGCTGGACCCCCACCACAGGGAGTTATGCAGCCCCAAATGTCCAGAGCGCCCAGGTCGAGAAACCCTGATCCCTGGGAATTTAGTGTTTAGCACTGTATTAATTTGCTAGGGCCGCCGTAACAAGGGACCACAGAGTGACCTAAAGGACAGATACTTACTATCTCACAGTTCTGGAGGCTGCGTTCCAGGCTTCTCTCCCTGGGTCGTAGGTGGCTCTCTTCTCTCGTCTCTTCATTAGGCATTCTCCTTGTGTGCTTGTCTTTGTGTTCGCATCTCCCTGCTTTATAAAGAACACCAGTCGTATTGGAGGAAGGAGCCACTGTACTCCGGTATGACCTCATCATAACTAAGTATACTGGCAGTGACCCTGTACCCGAGTAAGGTCACGTTCCGAAGTCCTGGGGGTTAGGACTTCAACATGTGAATTGGGAGACGGGGCACAATTCAACCCATAGCCATTACTGACTTCAGTGTATACCTAATTGTCTAGTCAACTGAGCACATACTCTCCCTCCATCAAGGATTTTATCACCTAAGGTTGGCAGAGCCCTTTGGCTCATACAACCCCATCACTCACCTAAGACTGACCACGGGGGCTTGTGGATCATTAATTCTCAACAAATTCTTGTCAGCTGCTTGACCGGTGATGGACTACAAAACCTGCATGAAAACTTGAATTCATAATAATGTTGTAGGTATTCACCCTTCTGTAGGAAGAAACATTCTGTAAGAGAATTTATAAATAAGAGCAGAACCAGTTATTACAGGATATTTTATTTTATCCACCTGGACGCGAACCAGTATTGTGGTCTATATTGCACTTTGTTGGCTTGAATGGTGTGGATTTTGATAAACTGAGTCTCAACGAGTGGTGTTCACATGGGTTTCGTGCTACCGCGTGAGGGACACTTGGTAGACCCACCGTACCCATTGTTTCATTTATCCTCCGTTAGCGATAGCTGGCATGTAGGTTTTTTTAACAGGCCACCAAATAGTAAGCTCATAGATGCTTAATAAATGAACAGGCATAGTCTCCTTCTTCATGGAACTTGTAGTCTAGTAGAGAATTCCAATCATGTAAATGTTTATTGGTGGCGGAGG